CGCGATATGCCCATCATTGAGTGGCTTCGAGAAAAGGTCAACGTACATCTGTAGGGATTCATCCATGATCACCTTCGCCTCGTTTGCTAAGCAAAGCTTACGTATGAGGACATGTTGCTGCTTGGAATCCACCGAGCGGCGCCCGGCCCCTTGGCCAACCGCACACTTCTCCTTGGACTGGACACTTGCGGCCGCTTCTGCCTTGGCCTCCTCGTAGCCTCAGGTGGCACCCGGTCGATGTGCCTGGCCAGGATTGGGTTCAGGGTCTTTTGAACCTGAGTGCAGAATTGGGCCACTTGAGCCCTTGTCACGTTAGCAGCAGGCCGGGAGGGGGGGTGTTCATCTTTTCCCCGTCCACATCTTGCAGTTGAGAAGCCGCTTCAGAGCTGCCAGGTAAACTGACCGGAATGTGGTCTTGTCCGTCCCGCATGCCTGGACATGCACGACCAATTGCAGGTCTCCACATGTCCCCACCTGCACATATCCTGTTAGAGCAGAATCTGTCCCGTCTCGGCACTCCACACTTGTATTTAATTCCTCAAAGGTGATCTGATTCCAGGGCAGGCGGGTGGGGTTGCTGTCCGGTTCCGTCGGCAGGACCAGATCCCAGGAGCCAATGGAAATGTTGCATCCGTCCACCACATGCGTGTTGTCGCCACTCGTCGTGATACGTGAACATGGGCCATCCACCACTACCATCGTAGTCTCTGCCCCTCTTATCTTGCCGTTGGGCTAATTCACCGAGGCCGGTGACTGCGCAGGTGACAGCCCAGTCGACGCTGGTTGGTGCGAGACCGTTCTGGAGCCGCAAGACGACGCTCGTGACAACAGGCTGTCCTGCCGTGCCGCTGTGCTCTCCAGGGACCCGCAGAGCCCAGTCGCGCCGCACCTTTCCACGTGTCCGCCTACCACAAGCCCGCCAACGCTTTCGGCAGGGGGGTGCTTTCCTTTTCCACTTGGTCCACTTCCCGGTTTGACCTCCGGGGCCCACCACCGGGGGTTGTGCCGTCGTCGTATCCACATGTTCCAGCGGCGGCGGGTCGTCACCGGCCGCCGGCGCATCCTGCCCGTGCTGCCGTGCCGGCGTAGGTGATGCCGTCGAAGACTACGTCGAGCCCACGGGGCTGTCGGCGCACGTCAGACGCCAGGGCGCGGCCGCCGCCGTCGCGACCTTCATCATCCCCATCCGAATCCGGAGGTGGCGGCGACGGGCGGTGGGGGTGGGGGATCCCCAAGATGGCCGGGACGGCGGGGGCCTCTCTGATGATTTCTACCGGGTACCACAGGGCATCAATGCCTTCTATCCGCCCGCGAGCATGTCGGCGGCGCGGTACTTCCACCACCAGGAGGCGACGGAGAGGGATCCGATCTGGATCATTCGTTCGCAACCAGACCCAGAAGCGCGACGTGTCATTCCGGTGTGCGGTGCACTCCGCCACCTTGACGACCAGGCCGATTCCTCGTAGGACCTCCTGCGCGACCCTTCGAGTCCATGCGTTCGCCGGAATTCCCATGAGAACCAGCCGCACTAGGTATGGCATGCCAATGCCGGCGGCCTGAGCCTGACGAAGTCAGCGTTTGAGCGTGAGCGAAACACCCCTGGCCAAAGCCTGCCCTCGATCCACCATCTGATCTCCGAGCTCCTTACTCCTGCACAGAACCAAGAAATCCTCCGGGTAGAACCCACAGATGGACATGTCCAGCGGACCGATGTCAAACTCCACATGTAGCGTCGCCGTGGCCGCAACAAGGTCCGCGCTTGGCCTCGGGCCGACCATGGTGATGACGACCGCCCGCTCCAGCTCATCCTCCAATGCACAGAGGTCGTTGCCGGCCTCCAAGAAACAATAGTCCAAATGATCTTCCTGTAGTGGCGCCGCCGTGACAGGTCTCTCGAACGGAGCAGAGAATTGGGGTCCGACCACGCTGTCCATGCTGCCCGCCGACCCAACACGCACCACGTCAGACCAGGCCCTATCCAGGCATGCCGCCACAGCCGGAGGAAGGCCGGTGGCAGTGGCGGGAGCACAGTGGGCTAGGGGGAGGCCGAGGGCGCAACCGGCGCGCGCAGGCGAAACACGGGGGCGGGCCGCGCAAGCGGCGAGTCGGAGGGGCTCTGCGGTCGGGTGCAGCCGTGGGAGGTGTGGTTGTGGCCACCGCAGCGAGCGCACTTCGTAGGGTTGGTGCAGTGGCGTGAGATGTGCCCATCATCTTCGCCGCAGTTCTATCAGCAGCCATGGAGCGACACGGGAAGGGTCGAGCGCGGTAGGCGGGAGGAGAGTAGGCTCGCCGGCCTGGGACGAGGGCTGGGCGACCGACGCTCCTTCCGGCCCCGCACCTACTGCCATGGCACCCCACCCGAGGCCTACGCTTGGTCAGCATGTGGCGCCGACGGGGCGACGATGAGGGAGCGCATCCTGGGGGGGGTCATTGGAGCCGGGGGGGACGGGACATGCCAAAAGCAGAGGGAGGGCTCGAAATTCCGGATGGGGAGCCAGAGAGCTAAACGCGGCTCGCCATGCAGGCCAGGGGAGGTGGCCGCCGGAGCCGGAGTGGCTTCCGGCGCAGACGCGACGGCAGAGCGGGGGAGCAAAGGTTCAGGTTCCGTCTGCAGATGACTTGCGAGCAAGGAGGCACCTCAAAATTTTGGAGGATTCTAATCCTTAGGAATTTTTCTTATGTGGGTTGTTTGACTTGTAGGATTGTAAACCATAGAATTTTTTTATAGGATTCATTTGTATTAAATTTCATAGGAATTTTTTCATCCACTTGAATCTCTTTGAAGGAATTCTATCGTTTTTCTATGCACAATCAAACAGCCGTAAAATCATGTCAAATTCAAGATAACATGCCATTCTAACCCCACATTTTTCCTATTCCTTATACTCGTATTGGAAATCCTATGAATCAAAAGGCCCTGAGTTTCACTAGCCCTCTTCTGTCCTACAAAATCCCCTGGTTCCGCTATATATAAATCTAAAAGAGTAAAATATCGCTGTTCCGCTTCCCCTACTCTTTTCTTCAAACCCTATCCTCCTTCTCCTTAACCCGCCGCCACATCTCCTCCTCTGGAAGAAACCCTTAGAGAGCTTCAAGTTCCCCGTACCGCGAGAGATGGCGGAAAAGGGCGATGGGCCTGCGATCGGCATTGACCTTGGCACGATGTACTCGTGCGTCGGCGTGTGGCAGCATCAGAGAGTAGAAATCATTCCCAATGACCAGGGCAACCGCACCACGCCGTCGTACGTGTCGTTCAGCGACTCCGAGCGCCTCATCGGCGACGCCGCCAAGAACCAGGTGGTCATGAACCCCATCAACACCGTCTTCGGTGAGCATCTCTTTACTTTTGCATCCTTCACACGCTCAGATCGCTTTATTATTTTCATAAAGCGATAAGTTGTCTACCTCGATCTACTCCGTTTTCACATGGGTTCTAGCCTTCTAGGTCGATATATTTTTGGTCTCGTTCCCTTAGTTCCGTGGTATCTGTAGAAATTTTTGTGCTGTCAACGGTTAGTTAATAGAGGTAGCTGTTAGCTGGTTGGTATCGAGGTTTCAGATCTGTTAGTCTTAGTATATATAACTTGCGCGGTTGGATCTTGTTAATTGTTTGGTCCCACTCGGATCTATTTGTTTAAAGTAGATATTGACAGTGAGTTATTTTACACTTCATTGACATGGAACTCGGATGATATATATTACTCCCTCCCTAAAGAAATATAGGAGCGTTTTAGTGATCTAAACGATCTTATATTTACCGAAAAAGGGTTCCCCCCTTCTTGAAGGTGCCGTCTTGGAGGCCTACACTCCCGAGCTCAGCCTTGTCTCCGTGACAGTCTGTCATGGTGGACTACTCCGACTACTTCAAGCTCTGCCCTTATTGCTCATTTGTTGTATGCTTGGAGTGTTGGGGTGTGGTGGCTGTTACTGTACCTGCTGTATCCGGCCTTGGGTGTGTTGTGTGGTTTCTGTTGTCTGTATCGGTGATCGTTGCTTTATAGTATAAAACGATCTTATATTTCTTTACAGAGGGAGTACGTAGTATTAATATTATTATAGAGCTTGATTGTTTTGTCTTGTGTAGTCCATTTGGTTTAGCATGTTTATAAAATATACATTCCTCTTTGATTTATGCCTGTGTTTTGAGTTATGTCTTAGGTTCTACGACCATTTAGTATCTGCAGTTATGTTTTAACACATGTAGTACTGAATTAGCTACTGGATTGGAACGATTTTTTATCAAATCCCACTTAAGGTTGTATGATAGGCTTGCTTTGCTGTTCACAGCGCACTTCATTGATTATCACTTTTCTGAACTTCCCATAGGTGTTCAGTGCCAATTTGTGTTGCTTTATCTTTTGAATTAGTTACTATTGGTGTTTCTATTTTATTTCTGCAGCTAGCAGATTGATGATGAAATAAAACCAAGCGCTTTTTTGCTGAATTTATGATGATTGGCTTTGGGCCATTAATTTTCTACCACATTTTGTGAAGCAGAATTGGGGCGAATCCCTGATTTGCTCCTTTTTTGTCCGTCTAATTTTAGGTGTGGAAAAATTGGGCAGCAAGCTAAATGTGCCCATAGCTTTTATTGTTTTCAATCTGAACAATCTGCCGCTCATGTCATCAGGACAACCTCGAGCACCTTCAGGTGGTGGTATTGTTGCATCAGGGTCAAAGCTTGTGTTGCCTAGAGTTTGCTACTTGACTCACAAATTCAAACATGCTCCAATTCCTCTCACAACAGGATGATGAAGCACAAAGACTAACGATATGCTTTGCAAACCTTTATAGCACAATGGCCTGACCTCCATATGAACGCCACCAATCAACTACAATGTAAAAGCAAACACATATGAAAAGTTTGTACAAAATTTACATTGCTGGAATTAACATGATGCATTTAACATGACTTGTGAGGGTTTCTCTTCACCATGTTTTGGATTGCCATTACATTAGAAAGACTTCTCGCTTGTCTTCATAGAGAACAACTTGTTGATCAATCTTGTTTCGAAGTTCGACATCAGGTATCATTTTTGCAAGCAGATCATTAAAGCAACTCCTTAGCTCCCCAACTAAGGCATCATCATTTTTGTCAACAATAGGAAAGAATTTTCCTGGGTTAAAAAAAGGCAGCCCCGCACAATGGATGATCCATTTGAGTCGCCCAATGTTTCTTCACAATGTCCAATATCTTCTTGAGCAAAGATTACTTGTTTTGTTGGGGGAAAGTTTGATTGATTCTCTGCCTGGCATAAACCATAAGGTCTGCAATCTCCGGCATGGCATGCTTCTCATCACCACCCGCTTGCCTAAGCACTTGAAGAAGTGGAGCTGAAGCTCTAAGGCAGTTCTCAATTGAATGCCACCACTCCACTCAAAGGACAATTTCTTGCACATCCAGGCCCCTTGTGTTTTTCGCTACTTTGCTTGCAACCCATGCTTGACATGTAAATAAACTCCTCATAGCCGCCTTGTGCTTAACCAAACTCTTTTAAGTGTGAGGAACGCCGTGGCAAAACGAGTGGCTGCTGGTCTCACAAGATCTAACCCACCCATAGCCTCTCATTAGACTAAGAACTCTCCCATGCATATATATGAAAGTTGTGACACACCTTGTCCGTGCAATAGGTTTCTTAAATGCTTTCAATTTTCCTACATCTTCGAGCATTAGGTCCAAGCAATGACATGCACATGGACTCCAATATAGTGTAGGGATCCTCAACTCTAGAAGGCGTGAGCAGCCTTGTAGTTAGCACCATTATTGGTGACAACTGAAACAACATTTCAACCGACTAAGAAGAACGTGCCCTTCGGACTATTAACAAGGAAGTTAATCAAATGGCGGCCCCTTCTATCTATCTGACCAGCCATCCGACATGATTGTGCATCCATACGGTTTCCATGCTGCCTCATGTTCCTTGCTCAAAAGACTTGGTTCCTTCACACAGTCATTAGGCTGCCACACTCATAGAAGAATAGTGCCCACTACATATTCACATAGTGCCTATTTTCTTTAGTCTTTGTGCAGGACTCCATGGTGCTTTGAGAACACGCAGAGCATCTCTCATTTACAGCCTCCTTGGGTCTTTTTCGCAGCATGGCAGCAATAGGCAGTGGTAGACTTGCCTCTTCCTTGGATGTTGGCAATAAATGCGTTCTTCTTCTTTACTATTGCCCTGAGCTTTGCCTGGTAATGAGGACACTTGATCCATCTGCATTCACCTACACAACCTCATTATTGTCATCTACATCAACTCCCATGTTCCTGTTGTTTTTCTACAAATACTCTGCCAGCTCTCTCTTGATTTGTGTGGTAGCCTTAGGACAGTCAATCACATCTCCACCGCTACAAGCAAGATGCCTGTGCCTCTTGATCCCTCCAATAGTTATCTTGCCACAAAGATTGCACCAATATCCATACTTCCATCTTGGATCATCTGGCTGTAGTGGCTTTCTTGCTGGATGTTTCATTGGGTCATAAAATGTTACTGAACGTGCATGAAATGTTTAAATTTAAAACATAATTAAACATTAAAATTTAAGTCCACGACAGCGAAAGTCCACTTCAAACTTAATTAAACATCAATGAAAACTTGAAAAAAACTGCCTCCTAGCCTCCCAACTCGCAGCCCTAGGCGTCGTCCTCGCCGTCGGAGCTGGTGAGGTTGAAGAAGGGCGGCGACGGTGCAGCCTGCGGGGAAGTCTTGCTTGTACACCGCACGCGCCGCCTCCTTTGGCGTCTGCTGCACTTCCCGCTAGCTCCTCCTCCCGCTCCAGCTGCATGCGTCGCTCGCCGTCGGCCCTCCATTGGGCGATCTAGGTCGCCTCCTGCTTCGACGTCGTGCCTAGCCACACAGTCGGCGCACTCACCCACACCCGCACCACGCCCTCTCATTGGTACGTCTCGAGGGCGACATGTGGTGCCGGTGTAGTTTTGGGCTTGGGCTCCACTGGTGGAGGTGGCAGTGGCGGAGGGTAGACGGTCCCCGCCATTGACAACTGGAGCGCCTCCTCCATGCCAAACCAGTGTGCGTCCTCCTTGCGCTGGGACTCTTTGAGGGTGTGCTCAAGTGCCTCCTCGAGTGGGGCCTGGTACACCGCCTTCGCCTCATGGTCTTGCTCCACCACCGGGGGTGGCGGTGCAAAGTTGGTGTTGAGCTGGACAGCGTCGCGTCGGTGCACGTCATGCCCCGCGGCGAACCACTTCGTGTACACTAGGTCATGGCGCTGCGCTGGCGTGAGCTGGGCATGCTGCTTGCGGAGCTCCACGTGCGCCCACGCAGACTGTGGTAGCGCCGGCACCGGAATGCGATGGGCGTCGAGGTGCCAGCCACGGGGGAAGTTCATGTCGTGCCACGACAGCGGGATGCGGTACCGACGAGCTGCCCTCGTCCTGCTTGGCCTTGCCCTTTATTTTGCCAAAGAAGCCCGCCATGGCTAGGGCTAGGGTTTGTGTCGCTGGCGAGGGAGCAAGTGTGGCTACATGTGGACGGGAGCCCCCCTCCCCTTCCCCGCCGCACGCTTACCATTCAAAAAGAGTGGACTCTGGGCGTTTCTAGCCGCTGCCATGCAGGCCTGAGTTAGGTAGCGGCATTGACTACAACCGCGTGGGGTAGTTCACTGGCATCCACATGGACAGCTAGTGGACAAAATTTGGGTTTGTGTTGGTGCATTGGGCTGACGTTTTCGTCCATCTGGGTCAAACGAACACACGCTTACCAAATGCGTGGATGAGCCCGGCCCCCTTGCTTGCCATCTAAAGAGTGTACTCTGGACAGTGGCGTCATTGACTATGACCGCGTGGGTTAGGTGGCGTCCAAACGGACAACGAGCGGACGAGATTTGGGTTTGCTTCGGCGCGTTGGGCCGACCTTTTTGTTCGTTTTGACTCACACGAACGCGCGCGGACCAAATGCGTGCGTGTGTTGGAGTTGCCCTTATAATTCCTAATAAAGCGGACGCTTTTCTCTCCTGTCTAAGGTGAGGCAGACGCCGCATGTTCTGGGACTTTACAAACAATGTTTGACATATATGACTTGATGGGAGAAGTAATAAAATCATAACCATACCACATTTCTGTGTTCACTGTGATGATTAATTTACTTCACTAGTAAATGAGCACGTGCGATGCACGTTGATTTAGGGAGAAAATCAACTGCATGTTGATATTAGGTAGGATATCAATTACTTGTTAATTATTAGATTAATATAGATGTTGATATTTGGTATGCTATCAATTGCACGCTCAACATGTTGATAGCTCACCATTGGAGCAATCTAGGTCGTTGGATTGACATGGTTTGATGGCCGAGATTAATTAGATCTGCTCCTTTGGGTCTTTTTATATTGGTATGCCTCTAGTTACCATATACCTGCTTATATTACTTTGCTCGTGAGGGTTTATTATTAAATAGGGTCTGTGAGGGTTTATTATTAGATAGGGTCCTTTGGATACACCCCCTTTATAGTTGCCGCCTGTCCAGCCCATTTAAATACTCAAACCATGTTTTCTGCCTAAGTCAGGATGCAGGCGGACGCGGATGTCCGCGAGTCTGCTTCGTCCACGCCGCAAAAAACAGCTAACGGCCTCGCGGACCAGCCGCAAAAGTTAAGTGGGTTTGGTGGACTTGTCCTGCCTGGCCTGCTAGGTACGTGTAGCCTGCTAGGTCCCGTTCGTTAGCAGCTGATGGGGCACGCCGCTTTCGCCATGGCCAAGCCGATGCTGCTGCCCCTGCTCCACGCTCGCCATCGCCCCTGCATCTCGCTCCTCCCCGCTTGCGCTGCCTATCCCCGGCAGCGCCGCCCCTCCTCCCTGCTCGTTGCCACTCCGTGGAGGAAGATGCCGGGTGCTGCGGTGGACAGACACAAGAATCCGGCGGCGGAGGAGGAAGAGGAATCCGGTGTGGGAGGATGAGGAATACAAGAATCCGGCGAGAAAGGAGGTGAAGGAGCATGCCTGATTCTCTTTCCCACTATGATTTAGTGATCTATTTAGCTGTGGGATTTACAACTCACTTTTAAAGATGAAGTATCTTGATTTGGTACTGCCTTCTGATTCCTTGTGATGTGCTCATTTCTTTCCAAGTAGTGATTCAGTGAGGATTGCGGGCCTGTTTGGTTCATGTCCTGGAGAAAACTTGCCTGGCCTGACCGCTCCCTGAAATCTGCCTGTATCGTGTTTGGTTCGTGACCTGAAAAATGTGGCGCTAGCCTGGCCTGGAAAGGTGATGGAAACCCGAGACCACCATTAGCCTGGTCCAGGCAACTAGAGAGGGACGCCTGGAACCAGCCTGGCGTTGCTAATCATGCCTGGGAGAAGATAAAAGCAAGCATTGGCTTGATGTTACATATGTAAGTGAACTTTTTCTTTTGATTGGACATACGTAAGTACCTAGCCGGTGTGGTCACCAACCAAACAATATTGCCAAAAGCTGCCTGACCAGGCACAAAAGCAGCAGTCCACCAGGCCCAACTCAGGCACTAGAATTTGTCAGGCATCCTTCCCAGGGAGGAAACCAAACAGGCCCTGCATCTGTTTTGCTTGGTCAGTAGTGGAATCATTGAGAATTGATGGATGAATATGAGACTAAGATTGAGTTCCAGCTCCCAAGTATTATCACAGATAATCTTGGAATGAATGGGCTGCTGTTATTAGTGATTAACATTGCTGCCTGTTAGTTAAACTTTTATTTATGCACTAGTAGGGCACCTATATCGCAGGCGTTAAGAACGGACGCCAGGTTTGGAATCCTGGCCGTTTTGGCCGATTCCCACTCGATCCAGGGAAAACTGGTTGTGTCGATGCCAGATGTATCGCCGAGCGCTCCAGGTTTTTTGCGTGGAAATTGGCCTGGACCAGAGTAGACACCTACGTCAGAACCATTGGAAGTAGGGGCGCTAACCAGGCGCTTATCCATAAAATTGTTTTTAATCTACTGCCCAAGCGCCTGAACAGGTGCCCTGCATTGGTGATGCCCGTAGGAGGTACCAGCAACTAACTGTGGCTACTACTACTAGAAACCAACTGCTCTCTTAATTCTCATTGAATTAACTGTTGGAATGAATGTGTTCACTTCATTGCCAGTTTATCATATACATACATATTCTGGTTCTCTCTTCAACTAAGAGTCATTCTTTATCTTGCTGGAACCATGTGTTTTTGTGGTAGCCTAGAGATAGGAAAACTGTGTCTAGTCAAATAGCAAGTGGCAGCTGCAGGAGATTAAACTTAATAGGTACGGAAGCCCCTATTCTACTATCTTGTATTAGTGAAAGGACCAAACCAAATCTCTTTCATTTTTAATGTGTAAGTGGCAACATAAAGGAAATTAAAGTTAATGAATGTGAGAAGAGGAGAAATTTTTGTTTCAGTATGAAATAAGCAAGTCCCTGAGACTCCATCATCTTGTTATCCATGCATGCAGATGCAGTAATCTTGTTCGTCGATCTGCGGTACTACTACATTAACATTCTTACTTATCTGGTTGGTGCTCTGGTTGATGTGAATTAACCTAACCCTTTTCATTAACATTTTATCTAGAGTAACTCAGGTTAATAATAACTTGATGTTGTTCCAAACAGATTTGCCAATTCCTGTGACAATTAAAGTATTCTTGTCTCTTTACATCGATGATTTGCAAGTAGCAAGCAGGTCCCAATCAAGCTAATTTGTTTTCTTCGGATACTTTGATGGCTTAATTAATTAGGAAGACCGATGTGCAGAACAAAGAAGCTGAGAAGAAGAGGTTTCAAGAAAAGAGGACCTCACATGAGATTCTTAATCTTCAAGGCTCATTTCATATTCTGAATTGTTGAAGATGATTTTGTGTTTTTGGCTATTAATCCATGTTTAGAATAATTATTCGCCTTTACAATCTGTGTTTAGAGTAATTGTTGAAGATGACCTTTACAATCTGTGTTTAGAGTAATTGTTGAAGATGATATTACTTTGAGGTTGAGCTTCTATGCTTAGAGTGATTATTCATAGTAAAATCTGGATGTGTATGCTGATCATGGTGCTATATTGTTCAGGCATCTGCAGTTTTCTCTTTTGTTGTTCAGGAACTCACATATGAGGCAGACACTTGCAGTTTTTTCTTTTCTTTTGTTCTGTGTTGATCATATCATCTTGTAAAATCGATACAGTCCAAACTATGCAGTATTATATATTGGCCTTTTCTTACATGTGTTTGCTGCTCTGCTTTTAAAAAGTTTGCCAACAAAATTATTCAGTGGCAAGCCTACTCATATGTTGCTGTTGCTGTTGCTGGAACTCCCACGTAAGGTAGAGCATAGCAGCAGGCAGCTTGTTGCCCAGCAACAGTTATTCTAATAAGCAAAGCAGTGACTGTGTGTCCCTGCCGGTGTCCCCTGGGCATAGCGGGCAGCTGAACTCGTGCAATTAACACTTGTGGACGGTGCAGACGCTCTGCAGACCTGTCCACTTGCATCCTGATGCCTAAGTCATGTGTTGTCTGCTTTGCCTCAGTTTAAGTAGCACGTGATTCAACTTCTTTTCATATAATGGCTAGTGTTCACTTTTCAGTTTGGTGTTTACGCAATTTCTGACCTGAACTGTATTATGCAGATGCCAAGCGTCTCATTGGCCGGAGATTTAGCGATTCTACTGTCCAGAGTGATATTAAGCTGTGGTCCTTCAAGGTTGTTGCTGGGCCTGGTGACAAGCCCATGATTAATGTCTGGTACAAAGGTGCGGAGAAGCAGTTTGCAGCGGAAGAGATATCTTCTATGGTCCTCGTCAAGATGCGTGAGATTGCTGAAGCTTTCCTTGGCAGCACTGTGAAGAATGCTGTTGTCACTGTACCTGCATACTTCAATGACTCACAGAGGCAGGCTACCAAGGATGCTGGTGTCATTGCTGGCATCAATGTCCTTCGTATCATCAATGAGCCAACAGCTGCTGCCATTGCTTATAGTCTTGACAAGGAGGCCTCCAGTGGTGGTGCGAAGAATGTCCTCGTCTTTGACCTTGGAGGTGGTACCTTTGATGTCTCTCTTCTCACCATTGATAAGGGTATATTTGAGGTTAAGGCCACAGCGGGTGACACACATCTTGGTGGCGAGGACTTCGACAACAGGATGGTCAACCACTTCGTCCAGGAGTTAAAGAGGAAGAACAAGGACTTACATGCCAACCCGAAAGCTCTTTGGAGACTGAGGACATCCTGTGAGAGGGCAAAGAGGATTCTCTCCTCTACTGTGCAGACCACCATTGAGATTGACTCGCTGTTTGAGGGCACTGACTTCCACTGCACCATCACCCGGGCCAGGTTTGAGGAGATGAACATGGATCTGTTCAGGAAGTGTATGGAGCTTGTGGCAAAGTGTATCAGGGATGCAAAGATGGACAAGAGCACCGTGCATGATGTTGTGATCGTTGGTGGCTCCACTAGGATTCCCAAAGTGCAGCAGCTTCTCCAGGACTTCTTCAATGGCAAGGAGCTCTGCAAGAGGATCAACCCTGATGAGGCTGTTGCCTACGGGGCTGCTGTCCAGGCTGCCATCGTGAGCGGAGAAGAGAACGAGAAGGTCCAGGACCTGCTGGATGTCACTCCTCTTTCTCTTGGTCTGGAGACAGCCAGGGGTGTGATGACAGTCTTGATCCCAAGGAACACCACCATCCCCACCAAGAAGGAGCAGGTCTTCTCCACATACTCGGACGACCAGCCTGGTGTGCACATCCAGGTGTATGAGGGTGAGAGGACCAGGACCCGGGACAACAACCTTCTTGGCAAGTTCAAGTTGTTGGGCATCCCTCCTGCACCCAGGGGAGTCCCCAGATCACGGTCTGCTTTGACATTGATGCCAATGGTATCCTGAGTGTGTCTGCCGAGGACAAGGCCACTGGGCAGAAGGACAAGATCACCATCACCAAAAAGGGCAGGTTGAGCAAGGAGGAGATCGAGAAGATGGTACAGGAGGCTGAGATGTACAAGTCGGAGGATGAGGAGCACAAGAAGAAGGTGGAGCCCAAGATCGCCCTGGAGAACTACACGTACAGCATGCGCCACATCATCAAGGACGAGAAGATAGCCTCTGAGCTGCAGGCGGATGACAAGAAGAAGATCGTTGAAGCAATTGATGATGTCATCGAGTGGCTGTGCACGAACAAGCTCGCTAATGCTGACGACTTCGAGGAGAAGATGAAGATGCTGGAGGCCGTGTGCAACCCCATCATCGGTAAAGATGTACCAGGGTGCTGGTGCCAATGGACGATGACACCCCAGCTGCGTCCGGCGGCTCTGGCCCCAAGATCGAGGAGGTCGACTAAACAAGACAATGATCTGCTAATTATTATATCATGTCATTTCGTTATCTGAGATTTGAGGCTGTGGTGGTTACGGTGCACATCCCACTTAAAACGTGTTAGGCTAACTTTTTATTTGAAATTGCTTATGTGAGAGCCCAGCTGCGTCCGGCGGCTCTGGCCCCAAGATCGAGGAGGTCGACAAAAAAGACTAGTCGATGGTTACTTGTGTCATATCGTTATCTGAGATTTGAGGCTGTGGTGGTTATTGTTTTGATCCGAGCGGTCGGTGCCCATCCCACTTAAAACGTGTTAGGCTATTCATAATGGGAGTAATCTTTTTTCTAAATGTAGGGCAAGTAACTTAGCTAGTAACATTGTACTCCTTTTGTTTTTATTTACTCTGCATATTTCGTTTTTATTTGCTTTGCATATTAGGTTTGATTGAAGGTCAAATTTCGTAAGTTTGACCAAGTTTATAGAAAAGAATCTAATACTTTACCATAACAAAGTATATGATGTGAAAGTACAATCAATAATGAATCGATAAATCATGAGTGTACATGCAGCCACGCAAGGTCGATATCATGTCCGCCCATTCCCATGTGATTCTTGCAACTTTTGTACGATGAGCATGTATAGTGATTTCTTCTCACAGTGTCAACTTGGTATAGTTTTAGTATTCCACGATCAATAAGTGGGCATGCCCCACCACACAATAACTACACAAAAGAATATAATCCATGCTCCCGCGCGTGTTCACTTTCCGGACTCCGCCGAAAAGAATATAATCCATGCTCCCGCGCGTGTTCACTTTCCGGACTCCGCCAAAAAGAGACCATCACGACTACACACGCGGTTGATGCAGTTTAATTCGGATCTGGTGTCAAGTTATCTACAACCGGACATTAACAAATTTCCATCTGCCACATAACCGCGGGCACGGCTTTCGAAAGTTTATACCCTGCAGGGGTGTCCCAACTTAGCCCATGATAAGCTCTCGCGATCAACGAAGGATATTCCTTCTCCCAGGAAGACCCGATCAGTCTCGGAATCCCGGTTTACAAGACATTTCGACAATGGTGAAACAAGACCAGCAAAGCCGCCTGATGTGCCGACAATCCCGATAGGAGCTGCACATATCTCGTTCTCAGGGCACACCAGATAGGTCAGCCTACGAGTAAAACCAGACCTCGAGTTGCCCCGAGGTGGC